AACCCGTTTTACGTGAAGTAGCGTAAAACTCGGTGAAAAAAGAGATATTGGCGGTGATATGCAGTAGTCGTGAAATTCGTTTTTCACTAGGGTGAAACTCTAGTATACGGAAGCTCATCGCTATATGTAAGCCTTGCTGAAGTTCAGGCCTCAGACACTAGTTAGTTAGAATGAAAAGGTAAATTTTCCGAATTTTTTTCCTATGAAAAAAATACGCCTCTTAGTGGTGATGAAACGAACTCAGGTTGCGCCCACGTGCGTCGGTAGGAGACGGGCTGCCGGTCTTGACGCCAGCCAAGCTAGAGAGGAGGGTCAGCTGTGATACGGCGACTATCGAGGCACTTCAGATGGTGAGGAGATAATTTCGTGGCGCGTGACGGTGAAGAATTTATCAGGTGGCGCGAGGAAGTGGGATGCCTTTGAATTCATGTGATGTGTATTGGTCACCACCAAAAGTGTTTCGCGAAGGGGAGGGAGACGAATGTGAGCGGCACGGTTTTATCATTGTGAGAGATCATTCTATGTCAGGCCCGGTGATATCAACGCGTCGGCGCACGGCTGCTATGAAAGCACGGAGGGTTGGAAGTCCTAGTAGTGGCAGCCCAGCAGCGGCCGTGCATGGCGCTACTTGGGTGGAGAGCGACTTGTCTCCGATGGACTATTGACGAGTGCTGCTGATGCTTGTGTTGTGACAATGCCGGGGGTAGGGGGTGTTTGCTCTGCTCAGCGAGCTCGGGAGTTTCTCCATTGATTATATAAGTGTACAGAATTTTCTCATTGTCACTAATACGTGTAATTGAGCACATTCTACTACACTGTATAGGGACGTGGGTGTAGCTGCTCACTGGAGTTGATTGAGGTTTGTAGCAGCAGATAGGGCACGTGGGTTTGTCGTGGTGATGGGGGATAGAAGCATTGATGTGGTAATCGATTATTGAGTGCCTCAGCTTGAACGGTCGTCGAGGTATCGAAATGAACAGGACGCGGTAGCAATACGTTAGTAGCAATGAGCGATGGTGGTGACACGCCGGCGTCACAGTTGAGAGTGAGTCTTGCTAGAGATTAGGGTGAGCTCTAGCATGAGTGGTTCATGTGGGCGAGTAGGTCCTTCAATAGTCCCGAGCATTCTGATGGCAAGTTCTTGGTAGTTTACAGATTTTTTATGGAATCGCTGGTGCCGCACTAGTTGATCTCGCACCGGTGACCGAGACTTGAGGGGGAAGCCTTGCAAGGCTTTGGTCATCTCCACACCAGCTAGTCGAACTTACTCTGTTGATAGTTAAATGAATATGTATAGATGTTCAGTTAAAGTGGAGGATCCCGGGTTGATTTAGGAGAGCTGGTAGCACGCATGCACATGTGGTGGTAACAGTAAGGAATATAATTACCAAGTTGGCCACGGGCAACGTCAGTGAGGGTGTCGGCTGAATTGTCTCTCCTAAGCTGAAGAGAATTAGCAGTGAGTGGTATTGATAACATGGCATTGTCGTTGTCGACCTCGCCGAGTGGTGACACTACTCTGCCGAGTGTGATGTACTCGTGGAGGGTTAAGGCGCTGAGGAGTTGGATGGGGGAGTTCAAAGCCGATGGCGAAAGGCAGCTTATGGTTTCGGATCTCGAGAGCTTGGGTCATCTGGACCAGTGAGAATGGGTGTAGTTTGAATACCACATTTCCGTCAAATTCTGCTAAAGGTACCACTATCGTGGCCTAGCTGCATGTGATGAGGTTATTGCCACTCTGGGCCTCGGTCCTGGTATGAAGGTGCTTGACGTTGGCTGTGGTGTTGGCGGTCCTGCCAGGTGAAGTCTGCTTCGCTCCGCTAGAAAATGTAGATTTTTTTCGAAGATATATATCGTATAAGTCGGGATGCTCGGTGGTCGGCTACGATGTGCAGGAGGAGTTAATTGAAGTGGGGAAGGAAATTACGGAGGCGGTGGGCCTGTCGAATAAGGTCGACCTTGTTTGTGGTGATGCTGCAAAAGATATGTATGCTTCGGAAAATAGAGAAAAGTGAGTTCGCTAGGATTCGAACCGGCGACCTTTGGTAAGAAGGTCATGTGGTGTAACGATGCGCGCAGATTTGACTCTGCGTTCTCGCTGCTGGTGATACTCCACATCCCTGATCGTATAGCTGTTTTGAAGGCCATGTATGAGGCCCTGAAACCTGGCGGATCGGTGAGCCATCTATCGAGAGTGTTGTTGACTCGTAGGTTTTAGGTATTGATAGAAGACATGGTCCATCTCACTAAGGAAGGGCCCTTCACTACGAAGGAAGGGCAACTCCTTCGGGACATGGTTGGAGCTCACAAAGTCTCCGATGTGGAAAGGTGAGATAGTATGTGGTTTAAGTGTGGTGAAGTTTGCACATGGTCAACCACTCCAAGGAAATTAGGAGAATCTTTGTTGGTTTCTGTACATTTATCGTGTATATTTTCCCAATACGTATATGAACTCCTATGAGCTCATCAGCTGAAGAGAGCAAACATATTTGCAACACAAGCGAGCAGAGCATGTTCTGCTGATCTGGTCATCATGCTAGTTACAGGAGAGACCTGTTGGAGGCAGGTTTTGTGGACATCGAGTTCAGGGATTTGACCAGCATCTGGCGGCCGTGGTCGCAGCAGAGATCGGACGAGTAGGAGGAGGTCGCGGGTTCGATTCCTGGTAGCGACATTTTAGTTATGAGGCGAGTAAGGAGCGACAGATATCTAGTATTGGAGAAGAGCATTATTGCAATCGTTCTAAGTTCTACGCTGCAGTGGCGGAGCTGTTCAGAGGAGGTCGTCTTGGCGGTAGGTGATGATGATGTTCATGATGATAATTATAATAATAGAGGCAAGTTGAGAGAGTTGTGGTATGTACGCAGGTGTGAGTATCACTATGAGGAAGCCAACAGTTATGGAGAGGAATTTGATAAAGGGTCGAGCTGCTCTGGCAGAGGAGAGAATACTCGAGGTTAGTTGCGCTCAGAGGTGTTCACTGTTGTTGGTATTTGCTGCATCGTGGGTCGGCATAGGGCAAGGGCGGCCGTTGGATGGAAATCAAACTGGCGACCAGTTGGGCATTGTTCGATTAACATGAGAATGAACTTGTGCGGACGAATATCTTCGTTCCAAGTAGAGACGAGATGGGGCGCACGCCAGAGGAGCGTGCGAAATGAGCGAATAATTTTTTCGCTCCGCTAGTTTCGGCTATATATTAGTGCAGCGCCTTATGCTATTATGTGATTCAGAACTCCAGAATGACTCGCATTGATTAGCAGCTAAGATTCTTGCTAGGGCGGATTTTCTAGGATGACATTCATAGCATCTCTACAGGTTCCATTGTCAATCATTGAGGCCAACGGGTGCACGAAATCGAAGGTTTTCCCCCTGGCTGAACATGACAATTGGCAATTCCATTTTTTCGCGGCCGACGAGAAGTCGAAAGTTAAATATCTCAGTTTTAGGATGTGGTCGGCTAAATCGCTCCCTCTACGAATCTGGCTTTGGTGAGCTGCAGCGGAGCGATGCGTTATTTTGTTCATTTTTTGTTGTAGGTATGTCACTGATGAAGGCGAATCGGTGGTTGTGGTTGACTATCAGAGTAGGAGCTTGAGCGCCCTTCAAGAAGTGTCTGAAGGCCAGGTGGGCTGACCACCCTTCTTGCTGGTGGCTACTGTCTTGGAGTAGATAAGAACCGAGTTGGGTTTGATCGGAAGCTTGGTGCTCCATGATGATGTTGATGATCCTAGAGGTGTCGGGGAGTTATTGCTGCAACATGAGGGCAACACTGAGATGATACACATGTGAGAAAACGTCGTGGAGTTCATCGTGTATATTACTAGTCTAAAGGTATATACTGTATATTGTATATGTGTACACTATATTGTATACACGCGCGCAATGGTCCGGCTCATGTCACTTTACACCTAGAGATCAGATGGAGCTGAAATTTTCGTATATACACTCTCCTAACAAAATAACATAGCATGGGTCAAATTGTATTTAATTGTATATGACAGTCGTTGGCAGTTTTCCATCAATAAGATATCTATCAAGTATAGTAGGGCGGCGGCATCTATTATATATTATTCGTTAGTTTTTGAAGCTAAGATGAGGAGTGTGTTATATCAGGCATTTCGCCACTGAGGGTCTACACTACCCCTGGGAGGTCACAGGCCAGGAAGAGAAGGTTATCCATCGGCCATTCCTCAGGGGCGATGTTGTTATCAACGATGAACACATTTTGATGCACGGGTGAGTCGGAGTGTCTGTATGGTTTGCCATGTGCTGTAGCGATGATATTGGTTGGCTACTCTACGGCGATTGATGATTTTTCCTTAGTTACTCTAAGCGTTATTATGGTCCTAGTTATGGCCCGGTATGGGGGTATCGATTTATCCATACGATGCTGAAAGATGAGTCTACAGGAAAAGTGGAGGGAGTCTTATGGACGGCTGATGCCACTTTCGGAAAAAACAAGTATGGATATTGTGGGATTCGAACCCACGGCCTGTTGCTTCGGAAGCATGTGTGATACCACTCGAGCAGTTTCACCTAGTTTTGGACTGTTCAGATACAACTACTGGAAACTGCTCAATTTAGATAGCGGCAAAGTCGATTCCATCCCTGGGGAATTCACTTTCCATCAACAGAGGATGGCTTGTTCGTTGTGTGAGGGCAAGTAAGCAACTGTTATGCTCACGTGAATTGCCTCGTGAAAAGATTAACGACGTACCGTCTCTCGCTGCTTGCAGGATGAAGAAACTTACTGTGAATGCCAGCGTCGTTCACGAATGGACTCTAAAAGGAAGCAATATGCTTTCGGAAATGTCCGAGGCATTCGGCGTCGCTGAGCTCACGGATTCTACTGGCCAGGTGGACGATGAATGAACAGGTGTGTGTCCATTGGAATTTGGCCTCAGGTTTTGGCGAGCGGACCCGCCTTCAACGAGATCTGCTATGGCTCCCTCGGCTGATCACATGTGGCTCGCAGATATGGCATCTGATTATTAAGTTTTTATTGATAGAAAGATTATGTTTTTTCTAGCGGAGTTTCTCTGAGAATCTTCGTTGCTGTGTTGATCAGTAGTGTTGACGGACGTATTGAAACCTTGTGCGAATTCGATACGGGGAATCTCAGCCGAAGACGATTCTAGGGAGGATTTTCAATAGTACGAATATAATTCATGCTGGTTCACTTCAAGTTAGTTGCGACTCTCCAGTCCACCACTTAGACTTCCCCGCCCTTGAGTCGAGAACTCGACCCACCCACCCTTGGCTGCAAAACCGAATCATTGAGCTACGATGTGTAACCTATAGATCTCAAGAATAGCAACGAACGATATACGGAAAGAAGAGAGATCTAACCGAGTAGTTCAATGATAGCTGCCTACGGGCGGCAGTGGGTGGGTTGGAAAAAAAAATTAAAGAAGCGGAGCAACGCTAACGACTGACAGAGTAAGTCTCAGACCATCTCGTCGAAGTCGACTAGGGATCCCTTCATTATCTTGTAGGCTCGACACAACTCGATTTCGGATGAGTCGCTCGTCACTTGAACTCTTAAGCATCTTTCCCATGCTTCTCCAGATGTGGCGACATTTAGAGTATTCATCCTATTCGTTGTGTCATTCACTTGAGCTGTGTTGTGTTACAAGTATGCACATGATTTACCAGAATCAGCAGGAATATCACCACCCTTAGAACTCGGGACGTATTAGAATTTCTATCACGAGAAACGCCACTACTGCTCTGAGTCGTTGCCACTCGAATCACGCAACACATACTAGACACGGCGTAAGCTGTGGTTATGAACGCATGATTGAGTCTGCCATGTGCTCAGTGAAAGAGCGTCTCTTGGAATCATGAAAGGACTGTGGAATGATAGTAGAAGGACGATCCACCCTCGCATGTAGTCGGCTCTGTGCATCCTCGTAGAGTCGGCCGAAGACACTATTCTCATCCCATACTCTTGAACGACTCTGAGGGAGGCCACAATGAGGACAAGAATCGAAAGTTCAGCATCTTACGTAGTTTTGGTTCGAGGTCACTTGTGATCTCTTGTGTGCGCTGGTTTGTTCCTCCGATAAGCTGGGAGAAGATATTTCTTTCCCCGCGTAAGGTTGCTGGCTCACGAGTTTCGCAAGCAGCGTTCCATCGCTCGTCGCTCAGCATCGTCGTAAAGCAAATCCCAACGTGGTATGGGGCTGCTCTCCTGGGATGCCTTATCCGTGCGAGACAATGTCTGAGGCAGAAGTGCCCTCGAACGACTGTCGCGGTAGAGTCAGAAGATAATGTATAATCCTCTGTAGCTCAGCTGGTAACAACCGCGGTTTATCACGCCATAGATTCCCGGTTCGAATCTATCCAATGATCGTATAAGTCAATTCTTGATTCCATTAGTTTCTCTATCATGTAACGAACACAACGTATTCGGTCCAATTATCCCCCTGGTGATTGCTCACTTTCGGAGTAAAAGTGCACTCCGAAACCTCCTCGCTGAGTTTCCGTAACCGATCAGTATGTAACTGAAGATCAACTTTCCTCGAATGCTATAGACACATCCCGTGAGCTGTTTAAACTGTCTTTCGCCGTTTCCACGAGGCTCACCTTGGCTCGACGAATCTCAACTTCTTCACGACTGCGATCTCCAATAGATCTCCTGAACGACTGATTTCCTCTTCTTTGTTTTCTGACGAAAGCCAACTTCATGAAAGACTTGTGTGTTTCGCGAATTCCGATCACCTCTCAGGGAGCGGCGTCCGGTGACAGCTCTCGCGTCCACGAATTTCTTCGGATATCTATACGAGTCTGTCTGTCTGTTGTATGCATCATCCGGTTCATATTCCTACATAAGTTCGTTCGACTAGAGTGTCCATTGTACGTCTCGTGCGCGACTCTGACTGGGATAGCGATTTCACTTCCAATACATCAGAGTCTCCAGCTAACGCGACTGTTTTTGAAGAATCATTTCCTTCCACACACGGCTCGGAGCAAACCTCTTCAGCGTTATTAGGACTCCTCTGTGGAGGGTAACTGTGTAGAACTGTCTTGAGCATGAACGAGTTGGTAGTATATAAATTCAACGTGTGGTTTGAGTCTATTGGTATCCAAAATTAGGTTCTGTAATAGAATTGAGCGTAACAGATCAAACACTTGAGCAATGTCCACCATAAATCATGACTAATAACTGCTAACTACAGCTAGCAGTGTTGTGATATATGCTCAGCTGAACTCATTAGTTTCCTCGCCTACCATAGAAGTTTGCACATGATTTCGGTTAGAAATGCTCAAAAACCAACAAGAATTTGCCGAAATTTCCTCAGAGTTTTCATATCGGCACCAACACATGTTGGTGAGCATGCGAATATTTTTCCACACTGACAGCTAGCGTTCACTTCTTTCTCTAACCACACCTGGGGCGACGGAGCGATGCATCGGTTGATCGATTGAATCATCTACGATTTGTTCCCTCATCATCATCATGAAAGCTTTTCGCGGGCATACAACGACAACAACAGTACTATCGAGTGGTACGACAAGCGATTGACGATTGTTTATCAGAGACCGCGGAGGAGACCTTTTGTACTGGACGGTACCTCTCTGCTGAATGCACGTGATGATGATCGGTGTTGTTCTCAGGGGGTGGTGAATGGCATCGTAGTAGCTCACGAGTCTCCGCGGCTATACGAATCTCGATATCGAGGATCCTCCTCCTCACCCGATTGGTAGTCGTAGAGGGGGTAGACGGAGCCCCTTCCAGAGCGGTTTCGGACATGCAAAGACTTGTAGTAGTCAGATGATAGCAATATTCAGTAAATTACTACTAATGGTTGTGAAACTTCGCAGAGTTACTTCTAGAGTCAAATTTATCTGTTGTAGAATTATGAACCGGCACCAGTAAGGTGCTCTGCATAGCACAGTGCATGATACGACCGTTTACGAAGTATCCAAATCTTGCAATCTTGCTTAGCCTTAAAATTTCTCAACGCTACTGAGCCGTATCGATGATGTCGATAGCAAAGTATCTTCACCTAGCTCCATTGTGTCTTTCTCGGGTGAATATCCTCTAGCGAAGGATTAGTCATATCAAGCTCTATAATACTAGACGGTTCTTGTAGTGATTATGAATCGTGTTTTTTCTTATGTGCGCCACTAAGAACTAATATTGTTTTTGTCAGCTTTAATCTTTATCTTCGAGTTATGACCATTGTCGATCCAAAGGGCGGTGATGTTGAATTGCAACGTGTTCATCGTGTGCCTGAGGTTGAGGTCAAGGGATTCGACGAGACCGTCAAAGGCGGTGACGTTGATCCCCAGTGTCACCATGGCAAATGCACCGACATCCGTGGGGTTTTCAGCATAGTATTATCTGCAATTGGTAAGTCCTCTTACATCCCGACAATTTTCATCACGTTTCTCAGGTATGGGTGTTGTTATGCTTCCCACTGTATTCGCCTCCTGTGGTTGGCTTGGTGGTGCCTTCGTCCTCACCCTCGGTGTCCTATTTGCTGGTTTTGCGGTATCCAAGTTGTATATGGGTATTGCTCTCACGCCGAAGGGTCGTGGACATGTATACACATATGAGGACCTCGGTCGAGCTTGTTACGGCAAGTGGGGTAAGCTAGTTGTTCTAGTTGTGTCGAGTTGTATAGTAGTGTAGGTCGTGCATTGACTGCTGCTATCGTCCATGTGACTATGTCGGGTATTTGCGCATCGTTGTTGGTTCTGTTGGGCGAGAATACCACCAAGTTGATACCATCCGTTTCCCAACGTATTTGGATCATTATTTGGGCTGTATTTTTCATCCCTTTTACCTTCCTACGAACGATGCATGAAGTATCATATGTCGCTGCTGTTGGTATGGTTTCGATCCTCACCTTATTCACCGTAGTCAGCGCCAATGGCCTTCTGGTTGGGGTAAGTTGTGGTATGACTCGAGTGCTTTATGATGGTTATTTTAGATAACCTCGAAAGAGCCGATCGTGTATGATATTTTCGTACCGGATTTCATTGAAATCGCAACGAATTTCGGTGTGTGTATTCTCTCATTTAACGTTACCAATTCCGTTGCAACGTTGGTTCGAGATATGGCCAAGCCGACTCATTTCGTCGCAGTTTCCAGATGGGCCTATGGTATAATATTTACTGTGTATTTTGGTATTGGTGTGTGTGGTTACTTTGGATATGGTCGTTCCCTGAGAGATCATCCTATTATGGATTCGATCGTTCCTCCCAACGAGCCCGTGTCGGGGGCGTGGGCTTATATTACTCTCATTGCAATCGTTATGTCCAGTGTGCCGCATTATGTGGTGAGTATCATGAGGTTAAACTTGCAAGATACATAACAGGTCCGATTCAGGTACTTTTGCTTCCGATTGCCTCCTCTCTGGAGTACGTTCTTAACATTGATGTAGATGACAACTCGCGTCGGGCGGGCATAAAGAGGTTCCTTGCCCGTCTGGCATGTATTCTATTCACCACTATAATAGCAGTCTCTGTTCCTAACATATCTAGTCTGCTGGACATACTTGGTTCCTTTACGATGGTCTTCATGGTTGCTATGATGCCGTGTATATATTACATGAGAATCCAACAAATCGTTTTAGGTGACCGGGGGCATTTAAATAAGGAAATAGTTTGCGACTGGTGTTAGTTCAGTGGTGCAGATGAATACAAATGTGGACTATTATTTGTTGTTTTCAGGTTCGTTGAGGGCCTATGTTAAAGCTCACAAGGCAGAGACTGTGTTTATTTTGGTCGTGTTAACGTGGTGTGTGCCGATGATTGCGGTGGGTTCGTATGGTGCCATCAAAAACTTTGGTTAGCATATCATATTGTTATCGTGTCTTCTGTTTACTACTATAACTGGCGGGCGCCATATACTACTGTTCCTGATAACGTTAGTGTTCTATGATGATTTTAAATAGGTGATGGCACTTCTCGATGACCTTCGCTAGGATTTCCATCGGTTACATCATCATCGATGTTGTTGTCTATATGTTGTTTTAATAGGATGTTGTTACTTTTCAAGAGAGCCATTGTTGGATTGCGTAGTCAAGTTATTCCTTAGGGGCTGTAGAAATGCAGGTGGAAAATTGAACGTACTCCGCTACGTTGAAGTTGGGGAGCGTTCTGGGAGTGTGCGTATTGAAAGATCTAGCTCTGGATGGGAAACTGCGGCGATGTTGAAATTTTACGGTATCAACTTGAGTTGGAAGAAGTTTTCCTTGCTAACAAGTGATCTGAGACAAGAACTTAGGTAGATCAACGAAATATAGCATCTCTAACAGCTTGCCGCCCAGCCGCAAGAGTCTGACTTCCTCAGGATACCTTGGCGACTGTGCGCGGGCTGTGCTTTCTTTCCGCCCTGTGGCTGCGAAGTGGCGGCCGTCGGGCTCCTTTAGTCACTGAAGTTCATTGTTTTTGGCTTTTAGTAGCTAGACAAAAACCACCTTGGTGTCGGAAGACCCACTTTGTGTGTTAGCATACCCAGACGCTTGAAGAAGGAACAGATGGATCGGCGGACGAGTATACCAACCTGCTCACCTCTAGGGCAAGCCTGGCACTTGGTTCTGTCTCAAAGTCTCCTTCCCTGTAGTGTCCCCCCAACTAAGCTCGCAACATGCTCGAACAGTTGCAACTTAGTTGTTTACCACTTGCCCTCATGATAATGGTGACGATAACTTTCGTTATTTAGTTGAGTGAGGAGTTGGGGTATTTGGGCTGGATACTCGGAGCTTATCCAAACGAAGCTATTGTTGGGGATACAAGATCTGTAGCTCTTACCCCAGCCTCCTCACCATCACCGGTGGATGAGTTTCTCTCTGCAGATGTTAGACTTCGAAGGCCTACTTCAAAGTCTCCAATTCCGACGAGTTGCGAAGGCTGCTCGCACTCGGGGAACCTGGGGTATCGGGGGTCATCTCACCCAGAGTATCGATTACACTAGCTCAACACTAGGTTAGAGTTAATCGTTTCTGGCTCCATCGTGATAGCAACGCTATAATCCTAACATCGTCGAACTCGATGTCGGGACGGTGATCGAAGGAAGCGAATATGAAGTCACCCGCCGCATTGAACTCGACTTGAAAAGATGCCTTCTCCTCATCCCAGTGACGCACGGCGCACCAGGACACCTTCCAGCAGCTGTATCGGTAGGGTGTTACTTTAATTGATTTGGGAATCATGGCCCTTATGAGGTTTTACGGCTCGAGATAGGACGTGTCGCACCAACATCATGTGTTCAGACATATTATAATATCATGGATACAATTAACGATCACTTGATGACCATTGGTATTAGACGATACTGTCGTCAAACGCATCGATTCGTCTCTGTGAAACCGCGATACAGGCATGTGAACGCGCCGAGTCAACTTGGGACGTTCAAGTTAACATCAATGGTCCAAGTTAGACTGCTGTGCTCACTCAAGACATATCGAGAGAAAAAAGATTTGAAACAATCATGGTCATCCATCTTCCACGAGTCGTGATTCACAGCATCTAGCTGCGTGCCTTAGCTGCAACCATCCTCATAGTTAAATCAAGAAGTATCTCTTCACTTCCTCCGGGTATAGCACTCAAACGGACACTCCTGCGAATGACCCAAGTTGATGATGACGATGAGTGAGTTCTATCATACCTGTATAAGCGTTCCACATAACGTCCCTGACCTTCCCTCGTCACTCCAGCACCACCGAAGATTTGGACTGCCTCTCTGGCGCAGTACTCGAATGCCTAAATAAGTGAACTTGATTCGTGTCTGCGAGCCGAAGGGGATGATGACCTTAGACGCGTTAACCTTGAGAATAGCACAATCAGCCCCCAGTTGACGATCGGGAACTCTCTGCTTGAACTGCAGGCCAACAT